AAGTGCGAGTTTGTGAGTTCAATCCTTGGTACCACAACTCTAAGAAAGGCCTGGTCCTGGGCACCCCGCTCAGGACCCCTTCTATTCTGTCTCAGACAGAAGCTTTCTTTCCCTAATAAATATATTTCGCTCTTAATCTCTGTTGTTGCTAAGATTCATTCTTCGATTTTAGAGAACAGGAACTCATACTGGACATCTACCAGGCCAAGAGTTTCTTTCCCTTCTGTCAGAGGTGCACACTTGTTATCTGGCACCCTGGGAAGCTGAGGCAGAAGGATCACAAGTTTGAGCTCAGCCTGTGTAACCTGGGTGTAGTGCATGGGATCCTAATATAGGGGATGATACATGAACTTCCAAATAATACCAAGGAAATATTTTAAGTCCCAACCTGCTGGACGTCCAAAATGCCAGGTTCACGTTCTCTAAGGCTACAAACAACAGGAATAAAGAGGAAGACGAGCTTATTGAATGGTGGCTTCTAAAAGGCAGGGAAGGGGCCCAGAAAGTGGATTCCCCACCGATCCCACCTCTTCAAAGCCACAAGGAGAGGTGAGTTCAGGGCGGGACAAGACTACCATCAACTAGTGAGACCCGAGGCTGGTCCTGCGATAACACTGGTGAAATGGGGCTCAGGTGGGGCAGCAGCCGGACAGTGAGTGTCCACCGAGGGCTTGCTGGGGAGGGAGTGGGCTCAGGAGGCTCTGGCCCTGACCCTGGGTGCCAGACATCTACATACGGGAATGTCCGTCACTTGTGTTAGTGGCCAGGGGATGTGGCTGCAGCTGGGCCTGTTCTCCTTGAAGCCTGACCTTCAGTGGATGGAACTTCACCACAGCTACCTCTCGTGCTGATGGTCCAGCCCTGTGTGCTGGCCTGCAATGCTTCTGCCAAACTTAGCTGGGACCAGGCCCCGAGGCATGGCATGTGCCTGGCAAGAGTATGGTCTTGAGTTCGATTCCCGGTGCCAAATTAAAATAAAATAACATGTAACTAACTTAGCTGCAATAATATTTCAGTGCATGTATGCGGTGGGTAACGAGTGCTCACCTTGGAGTAACTGGGTAGCTGTTCCCGCAGATACTCATCACTGCTTTTGCTGGACACATTCAAAATTCTCCCTCTGAGCTATTTTGAAATAACACAATTGTAGTCAGCCTTACGGTGCCACAGAGCATTAGGTATGTCACCCCACTCAGTTACCTTTCTCTCTTACTCTTTTGATTGTTGTTTTTCTTTTTGAGACAGGCTCTCAGGATGCAGTTTGGAGTTCGGGCTGACCTTGAGTTCGCTCTATAGTCCAGGTTGGCTATGAAGCGATCCTCCTGCCCCAGCCTCCTTAGCACTAAGATCACAGGGATGCTCCACTACACCTGGCTCCACTCTTCTTTATCATTGGATGGCGACTTTCTGTCCATTTTACTGTTGGAAAAGCTCTGTGCTGAATACCCAGTACATTAGTCCCCCTGGTTTGAGGGTAACTTTTTTTTTTTTTTTTTGTCTTTTTCCTTTTTATCGGTACCGGGGATCGAACTCACGACTGCCTGCTTGCAAGGCAGGTGCTTATGCCGCTGAGCTAAATCCCCAGCCCCGAGGGTAACTTTTATAAGGACGTCTCTTAAATGTGAGCCAAGGGGATTGTATGTGTTATGATGCCCCTTTTTCGTCCTCTGTGACAGCCATGCTTCCTGGACCCATCTGCTGCTTCCAGTCTGCATGCTGGCCAAGGCTGCACTGTCTGGGAGCTGGACAGATGCTGCCTGTCAGCTGGCTTAGGGGCCTGATAGGGGGCAGGGCCCTCCACTGTTTTCTGGGGGCCAAGCTGCTGCGAGCCTCACCTCCAGCTCTTGGCTGTTCCTGCCTTTGGTTTCTTCTCATTCTGCTCAATTTCTAGAACCAACCGGAAAAACCCATAATCCAAGCATTGTGTCCTAAAAATGAACATTTCTGTCTCCATGGTGAAGCAGCTAACACCCCAGGGATGGGGACAGAAAGGATCCATTTTCCTGCAGGGTCTGAGTGCCTGGGATCATGGGGTGTTAATTTAGAGAATGGGCTGTAGGCCGCCCCCATAAGCATGGGCCATAGGCAGGCTGAGGCCTGGATGGAAGGTGACAGAGCCTCTGGTGCTCTGAACAAGGCCCAGGGGAGCTGGCAGCCAGGCAGGAGCCTCAAGTCCATGAGGGCAGAGCTGGGCCCCCAGCAGAGGGGCCTCATCTCGAAGCACCTGTGTTCTCACCTACAAGGTTTGAGATAGTGGGCTGGGCAGGTGGTGAGGGTCATAGTGGGAGGCCATGTGGCTGGCACAGCTCCAGGGAGCTGGGAGGGCTCTGGTACAGACACAGGTCTGGGTGGAACGCACCCATTCACCTGGCCCGCAGCTCAAACCCGGGTGAGGTGGGGGTGATGGGATCCTTAGGTCTCTGCCCTTTGTGGGCACCCACCTCTCACCTGCCTGACTGCAGACCTTTCCCCAGCCTTCTCTGGGTCTCAATTTCCCCTCTGATTATCAGAGCTGGGCTTGATGATCTCTACCGTTCTGCTAACCCTGATACCCTGGTGAGGACCTGTCTGTATCTCCCTTGTTCCTTGTAAGAAGACTAGGCTGTGTTTGCAAAATGCCACATCTGTCTGTCCTAGGAGTCCTCTGAGGACAGGAGTTGTGGGTTTGTGGTCACCCAGGTGTCTTGCTATCCAACAGGGCCTCAGGGATGGTTTCCATGGATACTGGCCATCCCCACAGGGCATTTCTGTTCCTCTCGAAGGAGGTAGAGGTCAGGCTGAGGCCCAGGGTGGGGTCTGTCCTTGCTTTGGCCAATGGGCTTGCAATATGGGATATAGCTGGGGTGGGTGAGGGGCACCAGGAGTTCTCCATGCAAGCTAGAAACTGCAAAGCAAGTTGTTGGGTTACTTTGTTTGATCATCATATGCTGTGGGTGGAGGTCCTCTGTGGCTTGCAGAGCTGCAAGTGGAGGGTTGGGAGGCTTCCTGAACACCCCAACATTTTGGGGCTCCAGTGCATCCTTTCTGTTTTCATCAAGTGAAGTTCACAGCCATCCCACCTGTGGGCGGCCTCCTGGGAACCTGGGCAGCACCTAAGCAGGGCCCTGAGCCCTTGACAGCTTTCTCTGTGTCAGGGTGCAGGTATGCACCGAGGGTCCGAGAGGCGAGGTGACCGCTCGGGCCACATAGCCAGTTGAGTGCTGTTCTCAATTTTGTCAGATTCTGCTGGTGATGAGGCTTTATGTAGAATCCTGGGTGCTGCCGACCAAAGGTAAGACAGAGGTCAGTTCTGCCCAAGGGAGAGAGGATGGGCGGGATGAGAAAGACAGCCAGGGGGCGCCAAGCGCAAACCTGCAGACAGAGGTCTCTTCTCGGGTTTTAAAACCTGGAGACTCAGAATTGGGAAGGCAGCTGGGGAATGGCACTGAACCCCATCCAAACAGATCTACTGATCCCATTACAACGTGTTAGGCTGGAATGAGGAAGTCTCCGCTTCCGTGTTACTGCTTAAAACCAGCTGAGGGCATGCAGAGAGTTAGTGGAGACCTGGGATTGTTTCTTACCAAAATCCACCAGAGGGCTCAGGGTGAACCACTGAGGGCTCCCCTGTATCCTGCTAAGACATTGCTTTTTATTTCAGTTTTTTATTTTCTGAGCCAGGGTCTTGCTATGCAGCTCAGGAACTCAGTGATCTCTCCTGCCTCAGCCTCCCTGGTGGGATTACAGGTGGGCACCTTGTGAGACTGCCTTTTAAAATCCACACCCTCCCACCATTATAATGGACAGGTTCTGGGTTATTGAGCTGTGAGCCAGAGAAAAGACCCAAGCTTGGGGGTCCTTGTCCCATTCCTAAGAACCAGGGCACAGACCAACAACCTTTCCGCTTCATGATTCCAGATGCTTCCTGTGAGAGATGACGGCCCTTCTTTCTCCAAGCCCTGGTCTTTCCAGACCTCCTCCGCGTTCAGCAAGGCCCAGTCTTTCTGGGATTCCCTCTCCGGTGTAAACCCTGGCCTCTGCCGCTGGTCACTTAAGGGTTTCTCTGTGATTCCCCGGAACATAATGACAATCTAACAAACACTCAGGGGTCTACTATTTGCCAGGCACATAAACCAGCTGTTGGGTGAGCACATTCTAGAAGGAAACAATAACCAGCCAGCAGAGATGGCTACGCGCGACCTCACTCATGGGGTCGCATTTTCTCCAAGACCGGGATCTGCTGCCGCCCTCCTCGCTACTGACTGACGCCAGGCCTTGGACAGGTTTCCACAGTCCGAGTCCGTTTCCGGCTCTGCAGAGCAGCTTTGGTTATGGTCTCTGGAGCTTTTGCCATGGTGAAGCAAAATCCGATTCCCATAAATCCTAGGCCAGTGTTTGCCAGGCTGGTCTGCGCGTGACTCAGCTTTCACAGCCCACTGAGAAGCTCACCTGCACTGACTGCAGCTTAATGGCTCTGCAGCTTTGGCATTTTAAAAGCCCTCCAGTGGTACTGACGTGCAGACAAGTTGCCAACTTAAGAGCAAGGCGCTGGGAAAAAGTGCAACGAGGCCATCAGAAAAGCCCGTTTAACAGATTAAGAGATTAAGGCCAGGCAGGAGGGTGCCAAAACACCCCTCCGGTACCGTACATCGAGGGCCTGAGCTCAGGTCCCCACACAGATCGCCTCCCTTTGGCCGGCTGGGGATCACCACAGGGCCAGTCCATCCCGCACCTGCCACCTGCGGGGCTGGGGCGCCCCATCGATGCGCTCCGCCGCTCGGCTCCCCAGGCCTGGTGCCTGCCAGTTCGTGCCCCTTCCCCCGCCCGGCCGCTTCCCACTTCCAAGATGGCCGCCGGTGGAGCTGAACAGGTAAGGGGCCCCCGTGAAGCGGCTACGGCCGCTCTGCGGGGGCAAGGACTCCCTCAGGATTTCTCCTCGCAACTCTACTTGTCCTGAGAGACAGCAGAGAGCCAGGCTCATCGCTCCAGAAGCTCGAGCGGACGGGCCACAAGAAAGACAGTCAGGCGGGGACCGGGTTCCTAGCTTCGCGGAACTGCGCGGGGGACGACGGCTCGGGCGGAAGAGTAGACGCCGGCGATGGGGGGCGTGACCAGGTTGCGTGGGGGCGTGTCAGATAGGCGGGGCCTGGCGCAGGGGCGGGGCTTGCCGCGCGCTGCTGTCGGCCGCGCGCCGCTCGCGCGCACCTGTCGCCGTCCCCTGCCTGCCTAGCGGTGGCGTCCCCAGCCCCGCAAGTTGCGGGTTGGCGCGGCCGGGGCTGCAGGCCGGCAGGCCCGGGGATGGCGTCGGAGCCGCGCTGACTCCGGTACTGGGGCAGGTGGAGGGCCAGGCCGTGGGGGCGGGCGCGGGCGCTGCCACCTGCTGCAGCTCCCGCGGGCGGAGGCCTGGGGCGCGCGGCCGCGGGGGCCGGTCCTGGGGGCGCCTGCCGCCTCCCCCGGCGGGAGCTGGGGGCGCCGTGCGGGCAGGCCTGGGGTGGGGGCTGGCGTTTGAAGCCTGTGGTGGGACCCGGTGACGACGCGCTTCTCTTCCGGAACTTGCGGAAAAGTTTTCCCCTCGGAGGGGGGCTCCTGGCGTGCGGGGCTCGGGGACCCAGGGGCGGCGCTGGAACCCCTCCCCGGAGCTCCGACCTTGGGCGCCGGTTCTCCGACCCTCTACTGCCTCCGACGTCTGCGCACCCCGTGGGGGGCGGTGTTCGGATCTTCGCACGCCTGCCCCCACTTTATTCCCGAACGTCCGTACCTTGGGTCCCCTGTTCCTCCCCCAGTAGAGTCCCCGAACTTTGGGATCTGTTTTGGGCCCTTGTCCTCCTCGGGGTTCTCTGACCACAGCATCCCCTTCCATTTCGGACTTCTTGTTTCGCAGCACCCCATTTGCCTAGCTCCCCTCTGCTCAGGGCAGACCTGAGGCCGGAGTGCCGCGCTGGTCGACTCCCGCCAGCCCAGGGCTTCTGCTTGGTCTCCGGAAGGAGTGTGACAGCCCTGCGGGGTCGTGTCCACCGTGTGGCTGCTGGCACGGGAGCGGGGGGGGGGGGGCGCTGGAGGAGTGGCCCTGCGGATTCCAGTCCCAGTGAGGTCCTGCAGTGAGCTTCTTGGGGGACCACAAGTGTGCGTGGGGTACTCTTCTCCATTAGGTATGGGCAGGTCGGGAACCTGGTTTCTCCCTTCTGGGAAGAGCTGGCCTCTGAACTGCACCCCCAGCCCAGTGCCTGGTTGCTTTTGAATGAAGTGCTCTTTGCCTTTGCTGGAGGCTCCTGGAAACCCCTTGATTATTTCATGCACTGAGAGCAGTTGGGGAAGGAGCCCCCGACTGGCCCCCCATCCAGTCTGCAGTATGTTAGCACCTAGCTGCGGCCCATGCCAGCTTTTCTGGAGAATGGGCTGCCTGCTGGGCACTGACCCGCTAGTCCTCAACAGCAGGCTTGGAACACTTCCTGTCACCCAGGTTATGGGACCAGCTCAGGTGTCAGGTTGGGTTTGGGTTCCTCTCCCCCCTTGCTCTTACTGGTTTAATTGCCCAGTTTGCACCAAACTGGGCTTGATTCCTGTTTGGGTGATTGTCGTTTTTTTGGTAGGGTCTCACCATGTAGCCCATGCTGTTCTGAGATTCACTGACCAGCCCAGAGCGGCCTTAACTTGAGATCCTCCAGTCTGCCCTCAGTTACCTCCCCGCTTCGTCCTCAAGCTCCCCAATGCCTGGTGTCGCTTTAGCCCCTGCATTGTCATAGTGTTAGGCCCCACTCCCACTGTCCAGGAGGCGAATTCCAATCCTTCCTGGCCTCTGTGGAAGACTTCTCAGAGTGAGGACACATTGGCCAGGTGACGTGTCTTAGAGCTTCTGACCTTGCTCACGTGCTGGGCCTGCGTGCCCAGTGTGCTGGACATGCTGCATTGAAGTGGTCATAAATATACAGCATGCTGGAGCGTGCTGGCGCATGACTGGACCCACACTCTGGAGGCTGAAGCAGGAGAAGCCTTGTGAGTTCAAGTCCGGCCTTGACTGCATAGTGAGATCCTGTCTCAAAAAAGAAAAAAAGAACACACCAGGAGAGGACTTGGGCAAATGCATGGTATGTTCTGTCTGGCCAACTTTGTTCTAGGGTTCATCATCAGTGATGTTCCTTGGTCTAAGTGGTTTAGAGTTCTTCACAGTGCCGCAGGAAGGCCTCCCAGGGTCTGTGCTGTGCCGAAGGTGTGCAGGGCCATGTGGGTGACAGGAAGGAGCTGCCCTTTGAGGCCTGTGTGCTGAGTGGCTATTTCTGATACTGCTTATGCAAATGCGTTGCTAAGATAACTCTGGGGCAGAGTTAGCCATGCCTGTGTGGTGCCAGCCACGTGGGGGACTAAGCTGAGCCCAGGATGGTGCCCAGGGCTTTCTGTGGAATTCGGCCCCTAATCTTGTCACCTGCCAAGTGAGCTTACATCTATTATTGTCCCCATTTTCCTACAAGAAAACTGAGGCACAAGGAAGTTAAATAAATCTTAGGTCATCATAGCTGGTGAGGGGAGCAGCTGGTATTTGAACCTAGGCCCTGTACTGTGGAGCCTGCATTATTTTTCCTGTTCATTTCATTTTAAGGAATTGAAATCTAAGAAAAAATGTAAACATTATTCAGTGTTCAGTTATTTTTATTTATTTATTTAGTTTTTTGGTACCGGGGATCAAACTCAGGACTGTGCACTTGCAAGGCAGGTGCTTATGCCAATAAGCTAAATTCTCAGCCCGAGTGTTCAGTTTATTGATGGTCACAAAGTTTAGGGTCTATATTCTTATTTATTTACTTATTTTTGTCATTGCGAAACAAGGTCTGACTACAGTTCAGGCTGCCTTAGCTCACTTTGTAGCCCAGGCTGGTCTCAAATTTGTACCGATCCTCCCGCCTCAGCCTCCTGAGTGCTGGGATTGCAGGTGTGCACCACCATGCCTGGCTGAGAACTAAAATTCTAAATTGGCCTCCCATTCACTCTGCAGGTACTTAGGCGGCTGGATTTGGTAATTCACTAAGTGTAGCCAAGCCCTTTTGAAGAGAGTACTCCCATCTGTTCAGAATCCTTAATTTAAAGTGTCCCACTTACGCCTTACGCCTTTTCTTTTCTTTTTTGGTAGTGCTGGGGCCCGAACCCATGGCACTCTGCTGCTGAGCTGCATGCCTTGTGTCAAGACTGGGCCTCGCCAAGGTGACTGGGCCTCGCCAAGGTGCCTGGGCTGGCCTGGACATGTGTCTCCTGCCTTGGCCTCCTGAGTAGCTGGCCAACAGGCAAATGCCACACTCTCAGACCACTCTTGCATTTTAAGATATGATTTTTGTTTGTTGGTTTGTTTTTCGTTTTGGTACCAGGAATCGAACTCATGACCTCGTGCTTGCCAGGCAGGGGCTTATGAACTGAGCTAGATCCCCAGCCCCTATTCCTTATGTCTTTTAAATGCAACTACCAGTGGCCAGAGTGAGTGAAATATTTGTTCCTTAGGGCTATGAAGGAGTCTTTGGGGTCCTGTATCCGTTTAACACCCCCTTTGGCTGGCTGGAAGGGTTCTCATGTTTAAAACCCCTCCAAGCCAGCGTAGTGGTGCATGCCTGTAATACCAGCTGTGTCAGGAGGCTGAGGCAGGAGAATCGTTGCAAGTTTGAGACCAGCCTAGGCTACAAAGTGAGTTCAAGATCATCCCAAACTGTGTAGCGAGACCCTGTCTCAAAAGGATGAAAAACAAAAAACAAAAACCTGTCCATACAGCATTATGCTAAGTTCCGGTTGCCCAGTTTGTCTTCCAGAGGAGCCTGGAAGCTGCTCAGACAAAATGAGGGCTCCTTTTATCTTGAAGAGCCATTCCTGTGGAGTGTTTCCTGCTCCTCTAATGGAGTCTAGAGTTTTCCTTCCTTGGACTTTTTGATCTGGCCTTCCCTGTTGGAGCCAGAGGTGCAGCCAAGAATTACAAAACCCTGTGAGGATGAGTGCAGTGGACGGCGTCACCCACGTGTTCTCGTTTAGGGCTCGTGGTTTTCCTGCCTTGGAGGGATGCACAGCACTCTCCACGCTGAAGTGCCCTAGATATTCCATGGAGCAGCACAGCATGTGTGAGAACCACTCTCATGGAGCGCACGCTGCATTATGATTGGCCATCCCATCCTGCATGGCGCACACCGGATTGTGCTCACCTGTGTGTGGCCGTGGACATGGGAGATGGGTGCAGGTGGCAGGGACTGGGGCTGTCACCCTGGAGTGCAGGTGACATGTCACCTGAGCTGGGAAGGCAGGGGTAGCAGCCCTGGTTAATTGTTAATGTGGAGGCAGCTGAGACCTGTCTGCCTTGCTGGGACCCAGCGGAGGCTGGGAGCCCTCTGCAGAGCGGCCATACACTTGGGGTACTGCTCAGGCTAGGGAGTCCTTGTTGGGGTTAGCACCTCACTTCCGGGCCCCCCCGTGTCTCGCTGTGTCTCCCATGGTCCTGGGCTCCAGTGAGGTGTGGGCTTGTGGAGTGACTGCCCAGGAGGACACTGTCACTTCCCCAGGAGGCTGTGTGGACGTGGTGTTGGCCGTGTCTGTGAGACCTGGCAGGTCATTGCTTCCGGCTCCGTTTGTTAAAGGGTGGTGTCCGGCTGCTTCTGTCCCATCCAGTGAGGACTGGAGGAAGTGGCCCAAGGTCTGCATTCAGGCCTTGTGAGCAGCAGTACTTCCTGGAGCCTTGGAGAGACACACCTGGGGACCAGCCCAGCCTTGCCACCTGGAATGGGGACCAGCCCAGGCCTGCCACCTGGAGTGGAGACCCTGGGCTGGCCTTGTGCCTTAGTTTCCTCCTCTATGCTGTGGCATAGGCTTCGCTCAGAGGATGTTGAGGGGCTCTGCATGGGATAGCAACCCGGGTCATGCTCGGTCTGTGGAAATGAGCTGCTGCAGGGGGCCATAGCCACTGGTATGGGCTGGTCCCACCCTCTGGAAACATGGGTGCTGTGGCTCATGTGTCTGGCTCGCCAAGGAAGGGGATGCAGAAGGCAGGCCGAGCAGCCAGGTGAGCGCCTGGTGCTCTGCAGGTCTGAGGGAATGGTGAGGGGGCTGCCGTCCTCAGTACCCAGGGCAGGACATGTGTTGGGATAGAGTGGCCAAAGGGAGAGGGAGCTGTAGCTGGCAGCAGGATGCCCTGAAGCCACTGGCCAGGGAGGGCTTGCTTTCTCCCACGGGGCCATGACTGAGCCACTTGGTTTGGGCTTAGTGGCCAATTTCTTTCATCTGTGAAGACTGTCAGAGATACTGGCTGGTCGAGGAGGTGTGCTTAGGACCTCGTGCTTGCCAGTCAGGCACTGCACCCCTGAGCTAGATCCTGGCCTGGCTGGCTTTTTAAGAGGGAGAGCCTGTGGGGGGTTGCTGCTCTACGGGGTGCCACAGCCCTGTCCAGATCGCAGCCAAGCCCCTGCTGCTGGCAGCTGGTTAGGCCCCCAGAGCCCCTGGGGAAGCCTGCTGCAGCCCAAAGGCCCATTCACCTGGTGCTTCCTGTGGAGCTGGGTTAGGACAAGCCAGTGGAATCCAGATGGTCTTGCTGGTGGAACAAAAACAGTCTCCCTTATCCACGCCTCATGTCTTGTCTGTTTTTCTCTTGTCAGCAAGTGGTGACTGAGTGTGCTGGGCCCCAGCTCTGTGCCTCCCCCACAGGGCCGTCCACCGCACAGGCCTGAGCCCCCACAGCCCCTGAAGCTGCCTGGCCGTGGTCTGCTGCAGGGGTGCAGGGAGACAGCGTCCCTGGAATGTTGGTGACGTGGAGTGGAAACAAGCGTAGAGGCAGGAATCCAGCTTCCTTGTCATCTGCCCTGCGTGCGCCTCGATGCTCATGTTGCTCCAGTGTGGCCCAGGTGGCTGTCCTGGAGCCGCTCGCCTCTCTTGTCTGCACACATTGCCGGGAGGCCCGAGGTTAAGGGTTTCATCTGCCTGCAGTATCACCTTGTTCTGGGAACATGCCCCAGCAGGAGTGCTCAGGTGGGCCTGTCCCTGAGAGCTGCTCGTAAGTAAGAATTTAGCGGTCAGTGACAGCCCAGCAACAGTGGATGCCAGGCTTTGTTTGGGTCAGGGTAGAAATCGAGCAGTGAGAACTGAGGTCAGCTGTAAAATCTACTGTTTGGGGCCTGGCCAACAGGCTCCTAGAAGGAAGGAGCCTTTAGCGTCTGGGGAAAGGTGCAGGGAGCGTTCTCTTGAGCCCCGGGGTCCTGAAGGCCTTGCTGGGGGACTGCCCTGTGGGGCCAGCCAGGAAGGTCAGCTGGACGTGGACAAGCAGAGGCCGGTGGTACGTGGAGTGTGGTGTCTGAATGGGTGGGAGGGAGCCTCGCGCCTGCTCAGCTGACAGCTCAGGCTGGGGCTGGGTTCTGAAGCGTGTGACTTGGAGGCTGGCCACCTGCCTCTGGCCACCGTCCAGAGTCCACCCCTCGGCCTGGTCTCAGAAGCACGTGCCTTGTTTGTGCAGCCACCGCTCGTGGGGCGCCGGCGGAAGGGGCCAGCTTGTGGTTTTATGGCACCAGTGGCACCAGGCGGAAGGGCCAGGCGGCTTTGGTCATTAAGGAGTGGTCTTAGCGTGTGCTGCAGGCGGAAGTACTCTTCACCTCTTACTTCCTTGAAGACTGATGTCCTGTTCCCGGGCTTAAGGGACTTAGGCTGGGGTGGGATCAGCAGAGGCCTCAAAGGTCACCTGGCTTCTCCCTGGAGGAGATGCTCAGCCCTGGCCTCCTTCCTCCGGCTATATGCTCGCTTTGGCTGAGTTTGGAGCAGGGGTCCTCTGGGTGCCAGGGTAGAGTCCCACTGTTTCCCTGAAATGCTTTCTAGTTCCCTAGATGTCAGTGGATGCCTTCTCTTTGCCCAGATGCTGGTCTTCCTAGGAAAGGTAGACTCAGTAAGGATCCTGTCTACTCTTGGAGCAAAACTGCTTATTTTTTTGTTTTCGGTTTTTTGAGACAGAATCTCGCTCTGTAGCCTAAGCTGACTTAGAACAGCGATCCTCCTGCCTCAGCCTCTGGAGTGCTGGGATTACAGGTGTGCTGCCACACTTGGACAATTTATTTTTGGCTATACTTTTGTAATTTTGTTTTTGTGTCAAACCTATGTGTTTTGCTTTGCTTTTTGAGACAGGGTCTCATTATACAGTTCAGGCTGGCCTTAAATTCAGTTTGTAACCTTGGCTGGCCTTGCATTCCCAGTGACCCTCCTGTCTCTGCCTCCTGGGTCCTGGGATCACAGATGTGTGCCACCACGCCCAGCTTTGTATCAAACTCTTTAATTTTGTCTGTATTTTTATTTGGGCAAAGTACAGTGTGGTTCTAACATCCCAGAAAATTTGATAATCAGTTAATTCAATACGGGATTAGATAATCCTGCCTCACTCACTGGTTTATATTTCAGGTTTTTATGGAGATTCAATCTGTTAATGAATTCTGTCTTTTGATTCATTCTGTCTGCTTTGCCGCACTTTCTAAGGGCTTCTTCCATGGGGTGGGGGTGGCTGCCCCCTCCCCTCTCTGGTGCTTTAACCAAAGCCCCGGCTGGACTGACCCTGGAGGTGGAGGCCCAGATGCACCACACACAGGCCTGTAACTCCTGGCTGTTTGATGGCAGCAAAGTGCCCCTGGGGCCAGGCGCCCCCTCCCTCTCTGCACTTCCCTGAGGTCTTCGGGGTCCTGGGCAGGCAGTCTTGGAACCCAGGCGAGTGTGGAGTCCAGAGCCTGTTCCTGGTGCAGCTGTGGTTAGATCTCAGGGTGCTGTCAGATTTCTTAAGCGTTGAGGGAGGAGGAAAGGCTCCTGTCACACGCTGGGGCTGGCAGGCAGCTGGGAGCTCAGCAGGTCAGCTGCGGGCAGCCCCAGCAGCTGGAATGTGGCCCTCAGTGTGGGCACCAGCGCTTTTGACTCTCCTCCCCCAAGTCTCGGGCTTTGTTGTTGCGTGGTGGTTATGACCCTCCCACCTGGGGCGGCCCCCTAGTAACCTGCTGAGCCTAGCCCTGCATGTCCCATCCCATCAGTCTCTGCTGGGCAAAGGGCAGCAGCTGTCAGGGGGTGACCGGTGTGACTGCTTACAGAGGGTAAAGCCAGCTCCCATGGGCCCTGCTGTGTGACTGGTGATGGCACGTGGAGCTCACTGCACTGCTTTTCTGTCCGGTGAAGCTCTCCACGGTTCATAGCCGCTGGGGACTGTCTGTGGCTTTGGAACCCACACGCTGTGACAGAGATGTCCTGCTTATCGTCTTACCCTGCATGCGTCAATGCTGTGTCACTGCGAGGAGATGCCTGAGATAACAGAACAAGGGAAGAAGTCCTCCCGGATGCCCCGTTTCAGAGGCTTCAGCCGGTGGTCACTTGGCTGTACTGTCACGGGGCCACGGTCGGAGTGTACGGAACATTGGGGTGGGAGTGCCTGGCGGAGGAGGTGCCTGGGAAGCAGAGACTGGAAGAAATGTTCCCTTCCCCCTGCAGGGCCATGTCCCAGAGAGCTGTGGGCTGAGGTGGCCTTCTGGGCATTCCAGACCAGATTACAGTTCCCCCTATCTAAATAGGACCGGTGTTCCAGTGGACTCCATCTCGGTCCAGCGAGGTCCTTGTGCTCCCAGTGCTGTGCCCAGGATCAGGGCTGTGACTGCCGGGGGTGACTGCCGACGTGGCAAAGAAGTCAGTGCCGTGGCCCTTGGTTTGAGTCCTCGCCTGCCAGTTGGCTTTGGGGTGGCACGTGTGACCTCCTGCTCTGGTCCTCAGGCAGGCGTGGTGTGGAGGGCTCCGTGAGGCCTTCTCCCCAAGGGGCTGGCAGAGCCCGAGCTGTGTGTCATGTGGTAGGATCTCAGGTCTCAGGCTGTATCCATCCACCTTCTCCAACCCCTGTCTGTGTCTCCTTAGTTTCTCCTGGGACCAAGATGACTGATGGAAACTTCTCGTCCTCTACCAATGGCGTAGCCTTGCTGGGCATTCTGGACAGCCGGCCGGGAGACTCCCTCCAGGGTGTGCAGCACTCGGGCAGCAGGGTGCCCAGATCGCTCTCGGCACCGGAGTACAGGCCCAAGCTGAAGCTCAGTGCTCCGGAGGACCGGGACAGCCTCCAGTCGGTGGACTCGGGCATCCCGACGCTGGAGATCGGCAACCCCGAGCCCGTGCCCTGCAGCACGGTGCACGTGAAGCGGAAGCAGTCGGAGTCTGAGGTGGTCCCCGAGCGGGCCTTCCAGAGTGCGTGCCCGCTGCCATCCTGTGCACCCCCAGTGCCCGGCGGCACAGAGCGGGAACAGGCCGTGCGGAAGTCCTCCACCTTCCCCCGCACAGGCTACGACTCGGTGAAGCTCTACAGCCCCAACTCCAAGGCCCTGAGCCGCAGCGATGATGTCTCAGTGTGCAGTGTCTCCAGCCTCGGCACGGAGCTGTCCACCACACTGTCTGTCAGCAATGAGGACATCCTGGACCTCATGGTCACCAGCAGCTCCAGTGCCATTGTGACCCTGGAGAATGACGATGACCCACAGTTCACTGACGTCACGCTGAGCTCCGTCAGGGAAGCCAGCGACGCGGCCCAGCCGGGCGGTGTGGAGGACCCGGAGGAGGAGCGGAGGAAGGCAAGGCTGCTAGGACCCCTCAGTCAGTTCTTCACCAGGTAACACCGTCTCTGCGCCTTAGGGCTGGGCTGCACGCCTGCAGCACCCTGTGTGAGGCGGGGTGGGTGGCCCGGCCCTGCCTGCCCCCTGCCTGCCTTGGCGGCTGTGCCCGAACTCAGGGCAGAGTCCTTATCCCTCCCTACGTCTGGGCTGGTGTGGCTGCTGGGGACCTGCAGGTGCCTGTGCTGTTTCCTGGGTCCTAAGCGGCGGGTCCTCCCCTAGTGTCTTAGGACAGGTGAGGGTGCTGACAGGGGCCGCGTCCACAGCAGCGTCTCACCTTTCTGTTGCGGTCCCAGTGGAGCCTGGGCTGATGTGTCCAGTGCCCCAGTGGCAGTCGTGTGCTGCTAAGTGTGAGCCATTACAGAGCGCCAGCCACACACATTCCTGCCCTTCCCTGGGTCCTACTTCCCACCAGGTCCCTGTGTGTCGCCGAAGCCCTACAAGGACTGTTGCTTTGGCTTCCACTGCTTCCATGTGCTCCCGTGCATGTCTGTCCACGTCCCTGTTCCAGATGGGTCACGTGGTGACAGGCATGCTTGTGGGCTGTGGCAGAGGGCAGGCACTGTGTCAATCACACGGCCCAGGGCTTCAGAATGGCAGCCTGATCCATGGACCCTGAGGGCCTCTGGGCCCAGGCTCGGTGAAGGGTGGCATTTCTGTCTCTGACCCTGGTGCCACAGGTGTGCCCTCGCAAAGCCCATGCTGGGCCCTTGGCAGGAAGGGTGCTGGCCGGGTCACCAGAGTTCCCCTCACATGCTCCCCAGTCTGTCCTGTGGTTGGAGGTGGCTTCATTTCTGAGGTGCTGAGAGTGGAGCCCCCAGTCTCAGTGGCTTAGATTCGCCTCCACTGGGAGAGAATCTGAACCCAGAACCCCAGGGGTCACTGTTGCTGTGCAGTGCGGTGCTGAGCTTGGCCGTGGCCACTTGAACTCTCCCTCGTACTTGAATGAGTGTTCTCAGCTCCCCTTCATGTTATTATCCAGTTATCTATTTTTGCATTCCTGGGGCTCGAACCCAGCCCCCCCCCCCACATCCCATCTCTAGTTTTTGAGAAAGGGCCAGTTTGTGAACACCCCCAGGCCTGTGTGGGTCCCTGGCTCGTCCTGAGCTTGGGGGTCTCTGGGAAGAGGCTGAGAGATTTCCCGTCATGTGGAATTCTTAGCGCCTGCAGAACGCTGGCTGGAGCGGGGTGTCTGGGGACTTGCACAGTGGAATTTGGGTTGGGGGTTCAGCCAATGTGCACCCACACCCCAGCTGTGTGACCTCGAGCAGGTTACCTCACTCTGAGTCAGTTCTTCCAGTGGCCCCATCATAGAGCGCTTGCTGTGTCTCTGCTGGGCTCCCCTCACCCCATCCCCCTCCTCAGCTCACTCCACATCTCAGCGCCCCAGCTGGGGAGCAGTGACACCCCCTGGTCACCTGGACAGAGCACTTCATGGAGCCCTTTGTAAGCTATGGATGGCTTTAGCCCACCCTGTCGCTGGCACTGGAAAAGCTGGCTGGGCCTCGCCCCTTTGTCTCCTGTGACTAGGCCCTGGTGAGGTGTCTGTTGGGCCCACCCCCGTCACAAAGGGGACCCTGCCAGGTACCCCACTTCCCAGAATCCTTCAGTGTCTCTTCTGTTGGGTTCCTGGTGCCTGGCTTCCTAACCTTGTTTCGATGGCTGTGATGTTGTATTGAGAGCCACACGTGTGTCCCCCTGATGACATCCAAGTCACTGCAGGTGACTGTGCGCTGCCATGGTGGGCTTCATCCTGAGTCCCAGCCAGGGTCGGGTAGCTTCAGTCTGAGGTTGCTCAGTGATCAGACTGTACGGCTCGCCTGGTTCCTGGTCCCCTGGGGAGGACCGAGGACACCACTGAGGGGGTTGGGACAGAAGGGAGGCCATGTCCCGGGATGGGAGGGGCAGTGATGTCTATTGGTGTCCTCTTTGCCTGGCTCTCCTTTCTGCTGCCATGGCCACTCGGCCCCAGGGAGCAGAGGTGTGACCCTAATGGCCCTGGTGACTGGACCTGGCTTTAGAGCTGCACAGAAGACACCTGTTGTGTGCCTGATCCACGGCCTGTGCATGTGGAGAAGGAGTGCTGGGTAACATTCTCCTGATTCCTACAGTCTCAGGCTGGGCTGGACTCGCTGGTGCTGGGCTGAGTGTCCTTGTCTACAAGAGGAACTGGGGTCCCCACCCTGGAGGAGGAAGGAGGAAAAAGGAGCCTGGGGCAGGGGCTCTGCACATCCCATGTCATTGCTGTACAGGGATAAGGGTGAACGGAAGTGAACCTGGCATCGAGACCGGCCTGGACAGAGGGCAGGTCTCAGAGGCACTGGGTGATGCTGAAAGCCAGGCCCCTGAGGAGAGGCCAGTGGGAGAGCAGAGGGGCTGGGGTGTGGCTCCCCTTGTTCCGCATTGCCGTGGTGTGACGACCTGGAGGAGATCCCAGGGCTCCTGCTAGAGCATCTCTGTCACCCAGAGGTTGTCCTGCGGCACGAGTGTTTCTGGGCACACACTCGATCTGCAGTCTCTGGCCCTGTTTCCGTTCCCACCCCAAAGATTTTCTTTCCCCAGGCTTGAGTCTTGTGCTGGGTATGTTATTACCAGCTCAGCCCCTGTGATCACAGGGCGCCTTCCCCTCCAGCTGCCCACTTGCATAGCTCTCAGCTCTTCCCCAGCCCCTGTTTTGAGAGGATGGGGTGGGAGGCACTGCTGGATGCCCCGAGGGCCATGAAGAGCCTGTGGCACTTGGGTTTGCGGAGAGTCCATGGCCTGTGGACCTAGGCTCTGCCAGCCTGTGTTTGCTTGTGGCTGTCAATCATAGCCATAGAAATTCATGTCCTGAGTGATTGTGAGGTACCGAGCATTATGCGAGGTGCACAGATGCTTCTCATTATACTTAAAGAATGTGCTCAGCACTTGCTGTATGCCAAGCGTGAGTCCCAGGCAGTGGTCAGAGCTCTGGCACGTGTGCCCTGAAAGGTTCACCATCACTGGTCGGTGCTTGGGATTTACTTGGGAATGGAAAGAAGGCGCTGTCCTGGGGGAGCTCGTGGGAGGCAGGTGATAGCCTCAGTGACTAGAGTGTGTGTGCTGGGAGTGACACAGGTAATGGGGCAAACGGAGTGAAGGTTGCAGAAGGACTGTGAGGACTGGGGAGGTGGGTGGCAGTGGCCCAAGAGGGTGTGCGCCTGAGCCCCCGGGGGAGCCTGGGAGGAGGAGAGAGGCTGTGGGACAGGTCCTGTGTGGGCCCACTGGCATCGCAGAGCCTTGCAGAGCTGCAGGTGGAGGGTCTGTGCTGGTTTCCCACTGCTCTGTACTGGGTGCAGCGCTGCGCCCAGTGCGACTGGCCTGTCCCATCCCGGCTGGAGGGTACAGTGGTGTCAAGCCCCCATCTCAGTGGTTGCCACCCTCTCCGGGGCTTGGCTGGGGAGCCAGTGCTTTGGGTCAACACAACGCCTCGTGTCTTAGGGCTGCACTGCTGTTTCCTGGCTGGCTGTGAGCCAGGGCCACCCTCAGCTCTGGCGCTCCCTGGTCCTGCCACATGGCCCCTCCATCTTTGGAGCCATAGCAGAGCCACTCCCTTGTGTGGAGTCCTTTTGCACTTTGGGTCTGTCTTCAGGAAGAGCGCTGGTTACTTCGTTGGGCTGTAAGTCTGGGTCTAGTGGAGCCATCCCTTTTCTACTGTGAGTTTGTGCTTTAGGGTTACAGTAGCCAGCTGTGCCTCTCAGCACCTCTTCCAGAGGGTTACAGGAAGCATGCCGTGTGTTTACCCACTTGGTATGACAAATGGCAAGAAGTGTGATGTATGCAAAAGATCAAAATGGGATCTGAATCCACGTTTTAATAAACTGAGCATCACAGAGGGTCCAGGAGACCCATACCATTCCATACCATTTGCTGAAAGAAAGTTTTCTTTTGATTTTTCTGGTAGAAGTAGCCCAATTCAGCACAATGGCACATGAAAAAAAATCAGACTTGCAAGTTTTGGAGGAGGTCAAAAGTGAATCATCAGACTACTCATCCGTGGATGATGAAGAGGATGCCTTTTGGTAAAATACGGCTTTCAGAGCAGAAGAGTGGTGGGGGGTGGCGATGATGATGGTGACGACGATGCTGGCCGTGTGAGTCGCAGTTCTGGTGACACTGAAATGAATGAGAATGGACTGATACAGACACAGGAGTGCAGACTCCTTGATTTGGATGGTGAGGAAAACAGCAAAGTGGGTCTGTATCGGACTGGTTCAGACGCTGTGAAGTGGCCACAATAGAGTGGTCCAGTGTTACGGTGAGGTGCCAGGGTCTTGGCAGGGTGAGGGGTGTTGGGCAGAATGCCAGCAATGCAGTTCAATGTTGGAAATTGTAACAGACAGGAATGCTGCAGGAGGCCGGGAGAGACGCAGGCCGAGGTGCAGGTACCTGCTGTGTGTAACGGCGCCATATTTAGAAGTGTGTTGGCACACCGTGCCTGAAGCGGATGCTCTGCTAGCTCTGCTGCACTTCGCACAGGTTTCCCGTTCCGGAAATGTAAGGCACTTCCGGAAAAGGGACGGGCCGAAGTGTGGCATAAAAATGTATGCCCCCATGGCTGTGCATCTGTCTAAGCTTTCAGTTTAGACACCTGTCCTGGTGTCAGCCAGCAGGTCCTCATTCCTACAGCGGTGAACCAGTGACGCAGACCTCTTCTCCCATCTCGAAGATTAGCTGGGATGTGACACTGGCCATTTGGTTTGCTGGCTTCCAGTTAACGTCACATTCATTGCAGAGCACGAGTTGAGCAGTGCAGGAACTGTACACAGGAACAAAGCAGAAATTCCAGAAGAGACTCACAGTTTCAGAACAGAGACTCCCATAGTATAGTCTTAGAATTTCAGCAAGATGTAACATTGGCCTTATGTGTGGCAAGGGAAAGCAGATGGGTACTGCCGATGTTCGCGCCTCCCGTGACGGACGTGTGGAGGCAAACTGTCAACAGCAGTGGAGGACAAAGGAAATGTTCTGCCCAGGGAGC